CACGGCAGGCGATCATATTTCCACATATTTCCAAACTCTCAGAGGAAGAGGTTTGTTTGGTTGTCTCTGAAAATATCGCAAAATGAAACGAGAAATTCGGTCTACGTCTCGTATAAGCACTGTCATCAGCGAAAGCGAGAAAAAAAGTACATATAACAGGGGATACAACAAGCCCAAAAAGTTTTCATTACGAAAACCTAAGAAATCATAGGAGGTTCACATTAAATTATTTCGCTGAGATCAATGTAGCCTAGTGACCAGGAAAATGTTGAGTTTTGACCAGGAAGTTTTGGGGGCAAACGAGAAATTGCATGCACACTAGCGAATAGAGATAAGGGTCTGATAAGGGCCTGGTAAAAGCTTTATTTGATAAATAAAGCTTTACAATGGCTTTTTGTCAGAATTGATCTCGTACCCCCAGGATATACGCTACGCAATACTCCATATACTCTATGTATTCAGTTAACACATTACCACCCCCTGCTGCTGACCAGTCTCAATACTCCATGTCCTCTCTGTATTCAGTTAACACATCACAATCTCTTGCTGCTGACCAGTCTCAATACTCCATGTACTCTCTGTATTCAGTTGACACATCACCACCCCCTGCTGCTGACCAGTCTCAATACTCCATGTGCTCTCTGTATTCAGTTAACACATCACCACCTCCTGTTGCTGGCCTGTCTCAATACTTGATGTACTCTCTGTATTCAGTTAACACATCACCACCTCCTGCTGCTGACCAGTCTCAATACTCCATGTGCTCTCTGTATTAAGTTTACACATCACCACCTCCTGCTGCTGACCAGTCTCAATACTCCATGTACTCTCTGTATTCAGTTAACACATCAGCATATCCTGCTGCTGACCAGTCTGAATACTCCATGTGCTCTCTATATTCAGTTTACACATCGCCACCTCCTGCTGCTGACCAGTCTCAATACTCCATGTACTCTCTGTATTCAGTTAACACATCACCACCCGCTGCTGCTGACCAGTCTCAATACTCCATGTACTCTCTGTATTCAGTTAACACATCACCACCTCCTGCTGATGACCAGTCTCAATACTCCATGTACTCTGTATTCAGTTAACACATCAACACCTCCTGCTGATGACCAGTCTCAATACTCCATGTACTCTCTGTATTTAGTTAACACATCACCACCTCTTGCTGCTGACCAGTCTCAATACTCCATGTACTCTCTATATTCAGTTAACACATCAGCATATCCTGCTGCTGACCAGTCTCAATACTCCATGTGCTCTCTGTATTCAGTTAACACATCACCACCTCCTGTTACTGCAGGTATCCTGTCTCAATACCCCATGTACTCTCTGTATTCAGTAACGTGTGATGAAGTAAGACGTACTGAAGACACCAGCATTAACGTCATTGCTTCACACCCCTCACATTCCGTACTCAGCAAAAGGAGAAATAAAGTAGTTGCTGGTATCTCCATAGCCAATGACGTCACAATGCGCTGCTCACTTGCAGAGTTGCCTCCTTGAATAGCGCCAGTGTCCTCTGACTTCCAACACCAAACGATTTTACGATTGTACAGCATCTCTATACAGCGCCTCTAAGATTGAGGAAACAAATCCCGGAGGTAGTATTCAACGTCTTTCTGAGAGGGTCATGAAGAACGTACTCCATGGTGGCGGCCAAGAGACAAGGAGCACTTCACAGTTGACGTCAAAACTGGCATTGGTATATTTCAGGTGAATTGTATGGGATCTATGAGTGAGGGAATTCTGTTGTATGGCTCTGGAACCTTGATGAGTTCATACTGACATGTCAGAGTGAGCGAGGGAGTGAATGGATTATGTGTGGGTGGGTGAGTGAGTGAGTGAGTATGACATACTCTGCTTTTAGTCTTATATCACAGCGGGGGACACCAGACATCATCATCACACATTGTACCCATGCATGAAATCGAACCTGGGTCATCGGCTTGATAAGCAAAAGCTTTTACCACTAGGCCACTAGGAGGACCTATACTTTCTTAATTTATGCATGTAATTCATTGTGGCTGTAACAGATATTTGTTCAAACAATGTGATCCCGAAAATACCTGATGTCACAACACACGTTTTGGTGTTCATTCTGTTCAGAGACATACCTCGGCAGCTCCTTTCTATGACCAACAAGATGCGATCCCTGAGATTTGTAGGAGTGGACAAAGTAAGTCAAAGCTTGGCATACGCCTCAGGTCGGTTTGACAAGTGCTGACCATCCACACAACGTGTGTCCGGAATATAACGAAAAGTACGGCACAAATGCTCCAGTATGTTTACTTCTTTGAAGACGAGGCCCTAAAGATCACAAATACTCTAGGGGGGTACAAATACATAAATCACTAACTGGCATCGCTATAAATGAAACCCCGTCATTAAAACTACTCGCTTTGGTCTTTAATTAACTTAAATCGACCTTTTTGACAACCGCGCACAATTCTCAACCGCGAACGAAATTTCAACCAATCAGAGCGGGGGGTCTCTGTGACGTCATATGAGGAATAGATATGAGGGCCGATGCAAAATTCATCTACATTTCAGGGGGTAAATTATCTTGTTTACAGGTTTGTATAAACCTGAAATCGTGACAACTGTTGTGGAAAATGAAAGCTATATGTTCTCACAATCTACTGTCATTTAATTTTGTCTCCTGCTTTGCCTAGTTTCCGAGTTACAACTTGTTTTCATAGACGATTCTGTCAAAATCGCTTGGTGTCGTTACGCCTTATTTGTATAATGACTGATCCAAATTGATCCTATTTCCGTGTTTTTTTCCCTCGATATTTAATCATGTCATGTAAAAATCTGTTTGTATTCTCAAAACAGTGTCGGCCCATACGTTTTCACATGCAATACAGCAATTAATACTACCTTGTTGTAACCCGTGTTAGGTGGTATAAACCTACACATGTTATTTGTCATCATTCACTTGATGGTCAGTTAATGAATTTATAACAGGTATAATTAGTGGTAACACACTAAGATTACCCGACAAAGGTTCCCATTTGGCATCTCTTGTGTCTGGAGTAAATATTCAACATTATAAACATCAATCCATTGATTAACCAATAACACGCTGATTGATTAACTATTTTTATATTACGCAGCGGATTTGTCAAAAGATAGTGTTTATGTATGTAGATTTACTAATGTATACTGAATACACTCAATTGGGGGGTGTCGGTGTCTGCGTAAAAACAACGTCCTTCTTTTAAAGGATTAACCGCCAATACATTGATTGATTGCCCATTATTGGCTAACTTAATTACTGTTTTTAAAGAATGGCGGACATTATGCAATTAGTTGCCAGGTGTGCTATCTTGTGTGACCAATGAGACTATACACCAATATGAAATACCTGAAAAGATTTATCACTTTCTCGTATATTAAACTGTTAAAAGACACATCACTTGGAACAGCTGCAGATGAATGACATATCACTCGTTTTGGGGGATATTGATGGATACATTCCTCGAACAAGGTAATAGCCTGACATTGTTCCTATAACTGTAATCTGTTTTAATTTTAATATTTGCATTTTGTTTTTATTCATTTCTTGTAGCATTTAACAGAAACATTGTTTTCGCTGTGAAGTGTAATGAGACAGACAACATACACTAGGGTGTGTGTGCGAATTATGATTCACATTGGCAAACTATAACATGTCTAGATATTACAGTTCTGTTATAAATTCACTATGCGTATCAGCAGATCGTCTGCTTTTTATTTAGTTTCAAAATGCATACAAGTAAACTAATAAACTAATTAGGATTATAAGACCAAATATAAAGACGTACATTGACTAGTATCTACATACTGTTGAGTGGACATTAACCATTTGAATGTAGCACGAAATTTATCGCGCAGTATTGTGACTTCGACCACCACTTCGCTTCTGGGGCAGAAATCGTTATGTTATAAGTTGTGTCATGCAAAATCCTTTTGGACATGATTCCAATACATATTCAACTACGAGTAGAAAGTAGTTTTTATTTTCTAACTTGATGAAAACAAACCATAATCTCATTAATTCTAACAGACTTTAGCCCGACACTTTACGATTTTCAAAAATGGCGGCGCCCTGTCGCGAACATCCGCCAGTCTGAGGATAAATGCTATTTAAGTTTGTTTTCACCGAGTTACAAAATCAAAACTACTTTCTACTGGTAGTAAAATATGTATTTGATTGATGGCCAATAGGGTTTTGCATGACATAGCATATAACATAACAATTTCTATAGTGGCAGTGAGGTGGGTGTCAATATAATCAGGGAGACTATACTACATACAGTATTATGGTTACTTCGACCACAACCTCGCTTCCGGGGAAGAAATCGTTATGTTACAAGTTGTGTCATAGAAAATCTTTATGGTCATCAATCATATGCATATTTTATTACAACTAGTAAGTAGTCTTGATTCTTTAACTTCCGTGAGGCGATCTGAAGACAAGTAAGATATCGTTTCAGGCTTCCACAACGCTCCCTTTGCACTCACAAACATAACCCATTTAGCACGATCTGCGGGGTGCTGTGGAAATCTGTTCATGGAGACACCATCGCCCGACCCCTAGGAGCAATAGACGACAAAGCAACGATTCGGCATGTCGTCGTTGATGTCGAGAAATCATCAAAATGATGAGTGTGCTACACACTTTCTATACAACTAACTGGAAATCGTTCCTCATATGACGTCACTGCAGTGCTCTGGCGACAGAGTTACGTAACCTGTTTGTGGTTTCGTTGGCGGTCGAGAGTGAAGCAGGCGACTTCTTGGCAACTCGTAATCGCTCGGTATTAATTGACCACAAGGTTTTTTAAGAATGAATTTGGTGTTCAGCATAAGTCTAACCACAAATCTTTCATATGTAATAGTTAAAATAGTACAACAGAAACAAAGTTTATTTGTTCTTAAAGTTGTTTCGCTCCCTGGTATGGAAGTTTATGTTTGCAACAAATTTGTACATAAACAAACAAAATACATGTGTGAAGGTGGCTAGATATGAAACAAAAAAATAAATTGTTATTTAATGGTGGCGTATTTGATAGGAGCATCAAGGATTGGTTCTAGTTATGTCTATTCTTTGTTCAAGCTTCTTTCAAAAACTTGACATCATCAACTTGAAGCCTGCCATTATCACTTTATCACTCGAATCTATAGCCATGAAATTTCATTTGCGTGACCAGAGTAAAAGCGTAATGCAACTGGTTCCACTTTAAAGTCAATGCCAGGTCAAAGGGAGGCCATTGTTGGTAGAGGGCGCTATTAGATGGGGTATAGGATGGTCTTGTAAAGCTGCGTAATTCAGTCTCGCCTCATCTGTTTTTATCTGCTTTCTTTTCCTTTTACTATCATGCATTATGAAGTATGATCATGTTCATGTTCTGCCGTCAGATGTGACAGGCTTGCTACAAGACGCAAATTTGCCATAGTGGCAAGAACGGTTCTAAACCGTAAACATGAAATGATGGGGGGTATATTATGGTGTCCTATAATTGCCATCGCGTGGTGCGTGAAAAAAGAACCCACGGTCGCCCACGACGTCGCACAAAAAAGACGACGTCGCTCTTTATAAAATATATTTTGGCTACAAAAAATAACGGGCGACGTCATGGGCGACGTCGTTGGCGACGTCTGACTATATCGTGTGGTTATCGGCCTCTGAACGTGGCTGACCAAGGTTACGTCTAAAAGAAGAATCGTTAAACGAAACAGGATTTAAAACGCAAAAATGCTTCAGTCACTCCCGATAAACATTTCTGTCGACCCGAAAATGTTTTTACACCTATATCCAATCAAATACCACCCTAGAAGACCACTGTTCATTGTATGTAAGGCATACCCATCTGCAAATGAAACGATCTGTTCCCCACACTCTAAACATAATTTACTATTGTTCGGTCCGGCATACCTCGGGCCGTCAAAAGCAGCTTAAACCTCACACATGTATCTTGAATTGCGTTTTAATTCACAGATTAGTATTACATCTACCTATATATTACTTTCCAGCCCCTTTCTCTCTCCATTTTCACCCGTGAAGGTCCGGATTAGAAAGTGCCTTCAGTCACCCATGCTTGTCGTAACGGGAGCGGGTGGTCAGACTCGCTGACTTGGTTGACATATGTCATCGGTTCCGAAATGCGCAGATCGATGTTCATGTTGTTGATCACTGGATTGTCTGGTTCATACTCGATTATTTACAGACCGCCGCCATATAGCTGGACTATTGTTGAGTGTGGCGTAAAACTAAACTCACTCACTCTCCATTTTCAACATAGCCTCAATCAAAAGTGTTAAGTTTCTGTTGGCCCCACTTGGCTGGAGCTGTCAAAAGCAACTTAAAGTCTCACAGATGAATCCTAGATTCTGTTTACATCCAATGAATATAGTTATATCTAACTAAATACCACTTTATAGACCCAGTTTTCTTTGTAACATCACAATGTGGCATTTAGGTAGATATAATACTGATCTATGGATTCAAACACATTTCAAGGTACATGTGTGAGGTTTAAGTTGCTTTTGACAGCCCGGGCCAAGTCCGGCCGAACAGACTGAACACTTTTGATTGAGGCTATTTTGAAGGTGGGCAGACACGGGCTTCACTTTAACGGAGCAGTTACCTTTACATGTGGCATTTTGTAACATTTCAATGTGATATGTAGGTAGATATAATACTAATCTATGGATTTAAGCACAATTAAAGATACACCTTTGAGGTGTGAGGTGCTTTTGACGACTCGAGCCAAGCCGGACGGAACGCTTCTGACACAGTGTGTTTGTTGAGAATATATAGAAAAGAAGGCTTCACTTCGAGCAACGTGTTTGCTTAAAATACTACGCTTTGCGACTCTATAAAGAAGTATTTAGGTACTAGTAGATATAATACCATTTTGCCTTTCATGTGTACTAGCAAATTTAAGCATATGCAAACGCGCTGGCTATCGGATTTGGGCTGGTGTTGTTTACGGTTTAGAATACAATGAATACATCATGTGTGTGTGTGTGTAAATGTATACTTTCTATGATCCTTTATAACATATTACAAAAGGTTGTGATTTAGTATATTTCATTTAACATATATAATCATGTCATAATTCCCCATATAATATGGGGAGCAAATTATTTCGAAGCCATTGAAATGTCCATGCATCCTATTTTAAAAGATTTCTTACAGAAGGTATATTTACTTCCAATAAAGCCATACCTGGCGAAACAGGACCCTATAACATCCATATTGAGAGTCAAATGAGAGTTATTAGATACTGGATTAAACTTTTAAGAATGCCTGATTATCGCTACTCCCATCAAAGCTGTCAAATATTGTTATCACTGGATAAATGTGGAAAGTATTCATGGACTTCAGATGTGAGAAATATGTTATTTTCAAGCGTGTTTTCTCATGTTTGATTTAAGCAAAATGTTGGTTATATAAAAATGTTTTATCAACATTTAAACAACGAATACAAGATATATATTCAAAGTTGGTACATATCAGTCAATTCATCCAGTTTTCTTAGTCATTATTCACAATGTAAATCGATGTTCGTACCTGCCAAATATGTCAGTGTTCTTAATGATAAGTCCCTTTTCAGATTTTTTTTGTAAATTTAAAATCTCTCTTCATGCCTTAAATATACAACGTTTTAGAAAAGATAATAATACATTGGAAGATTTATCATGTTCTTATTGTTCTTCTGGTAAAACTGAAGACGAACGTCACTTATTATTAGTCTGTAAGACTTTCTCTGCCTACCGAAAGAAGTATTTAAAATGCACTAATGATGCCCCACAAACGATATTCAATGTACTTAATTCTAATAATGCTGATATTATTAAATCTGTTGCCATTTTCATGAAACATTTGATGTCCATCCGTAAATCACATGTAAAATCATAATTTAATGTCACGTGACCAATAGTTGTAATTGAGTAACTTCAATTGTACTCTGGGCCACTGGGCCTTAACTACTGAATAAAGCCTGTGTGACTGTCTGTCTGTCATTGTCCAGGTACTCCACCAATGTCGGGTGGTTATTTGCAAGCCTGAACTTCAAGTTATCTAGTCGTTCCTCCAAATCTCTGTACTTCTATTTGGGGACAGTCTTTGGCCGGCATCGTACTGAAGCATCTTTGCCTCGTTCAGTCCTTGTTCATCTTCCAGGAACTTGGCCATCTCGAATAGGGTGGGATGTTGTTTTACCACAACCTTCATGAGACGGCCATGCCAATTGCAACCCATGAGGTTGTTGTTTGTGCGGGGGCCGTCAGTATTTTTGGTACAGTCGAAAAGATTCACTTTGACTTCGCTGTGTGCAGGTCCGTGGTTGTGGTCTCCAGGTACTTGGGAAATTATGTCGTTCACTGTTAAGACTGACTTGCACGTTTATGTAAGAAATTGAATAACTCACTACTAATGAACTGAGTGAACTTAACTCACTCACTAAACCCGCTGGTTCACATGTCAACCCGCTGGTACAAAAGTCATATTTCGTTTCCTGAGTGGAGACATTTTACATTTTGTAGAAAACCAGTGTTTTGATCCTTTAAATCAACACCGTTTTCACAACATCAAGCATCAACTAAATTTGACAGATTTTTTTACTTACGGTGCTCTGGCGCTTACCCCTCGATTGGTTTACTTAAATAAGTAGTAATGTTGAATATGAAATCAGTGATTAGAAATCAATAGCAGTACAACTGCACCACAAAAGGTTATTCCCCGATTTTCCAATATAACAATTTCTAAACACGTCGCCTTCGACGTCGATTTTGTACTTTTGTCGTAGATCATTCTTGTGTATGTCTGCACGACGTCGAGGACGACGTCTTACACGACGTCGTGGTCGACGTCGTCTTTTTTATGCGACGTCGTGTGCGACGTCGCCCACGACGTAGTTCTTTTTTTACGCGCCACGCGATGGCAATTATAGGACACCATAGTATATGTATCATTGTTTTGCAGTGAAATGAAAACAAAAATTCTAATTATTTAATCCAAATTTTATTTTCCCACAATTGTAAATTTATAGATTCACTAACGAATGCAAGATACTGTACGAAAGCCTCAATACCTTGCTGAGGTCTGATTATGACCAAATCATCTCAAACATGTCAAAATATCCAACATCTAACACACAGATGTCCCTTCGACGCAACCCTCTAACATTGTAACACTAATCTCTTATTCTCAAACACTAATCTCTTAACACATCTTTAACACACTGTCCGAAGTATCACGAAATACGCTTGTATAACAAAGATTCATGGAATTCTCGTGCAGTAGCGTTTCGCGAAGCGTTGTATTCGCGCATATACAACACATTTACTACTTTGTAAACGTGTATAAACGTAACAAACCTTTATGACGGGCAAGGTGTAAATGGGCCCAGTTGCCCGAACACCTATCAAACTTTCAATTATCTATCTATCTACAACACATTGTTCGAGAACAAAACAAAACATTCATCGGATAACTGAACGTCCCAAAACGCAAATGTTGTTTAACCTCATCCGAGAACATGCTCATCTGGTGTCCACGGTCGCAGTGTTTCGGACATTCCATGAACTGTTCTTCAAAACAATCATACCGTAGCATTGTTTGTTTATACTTTATTACATGTTTCTGAACCACGAGAATTGACCTGTTCGATGCAAGTGACGTATTTAGTGTGGTCCTGATGAGTAAATGTCTCGGAGAGGGTGCCACAGATGAAGCCACAATGTGTGTTTGTTCTGTATCTCGATTGACGGGGTTTGCTAGAGAACAGACGCCTCAACTAACACAAGGTCAGTAGGCTCATGAAGCGCTCGTTCAATCACACGAACACATACAGCTCATCGGAGAGATCGGTTTTCCTGGCACTTCGAATCTCATCTCGCTCCGCTGACAGATTTCAGATTGCTTTCAGTACCGCTGTGTAGTATCTGTTACCAGCAATATGACATCATTTAATAACAAGCCTTGATCAAACCTACCACATTGAACATGTACATACATGCATGACATATATTTAGGGACTCTCATTGGTAAGTATCCTGATCACAGATAAAAGATGAACCTGCATAACGTACTATGAGTAAGTGTGTTAGTTATCAATTTCATACCATTCAGCAAACGGTAACCATATTGCGATGTTGATTTCACACAGGACAAGATTAAAAATGAAACATGACATTAATTGGTTCTGGCTTTGACGTGTAGTGTATGAGGAGACCTTAACATGCAACAAAGTGATATATACACTTTGTTGTGTAGTGTATGAAGTGAGTGAGTGAGTATAGTTTTACACCGCACTCAGCAATATTCCAGCTATATGGCGGCGGTCTGTAAATAATCGAGTGTGGACCAGACAATCCACTGATAAACAGCATGAACATCGATCTGTGCAACTGGGAACCGATGACAGGTGTCAACCAAGTGAGCGAGCCTGACCACCCGATCCCGTTAGTCGCATCTTACGACAAGCATGGGTTACTGAAAACCAATATTCTAACCCGCACCTTCATGGTTTAGTGTAGTAGGTGACCTTAACATACAACAAAGGAATGTAGTCAAAAGTGAAAGTCCAAAGATGTTTATTGTATGAAAGTACCACATACACGAGAGTTACAGTGATAAACCAATATCAGGGATATTTACGTACATATTTAGGGATGTTAAATGATGTATGCAGTTATGCGCACACACAAAGAGAGTGTGGAAAAATGAACGAGAGACGATGCAGTGAGCGACACAATAACATGCAAGCTTCTGTAAGGCTGGGTGACGTTCAGAGTTAGTCAATGACAATATCCATAAACAATTGAATAACCAATCAATTGTTTCATTCTGTGAAACAAACCCAATCAAACAATGTTTATGAAAAAAGACTGACAAACAAAATTTCCCCCTTTGTCATTCATCACTAAAATGGTAACATTGATACAAAGTGTTTTGCTTCTTTTGATTTTGGATGTCCAACACATCTTTATCTTTGTGAATCTTGTTGACACTAACATTGAAAAATACTATACGTGATTATGAGTATTTATCATTCATGTGGTAATATTTAAATGAGAAATGAAAATAATAAAATGTGATTAAAATATCACAACGCATATTATATATTTAACTGTATAATTCCATCTAATGTTTAACATGTGGATATTGATAATGATATTAATAAATTGACAGGTGGCATACGCCTTGTGGATTTTAAGGGCATTAATGATTATATTCAATTTTCAAATTAAATATCAAATGGCACAGGCATTCCAGGAAATATACCATGGGAAATATATGTTACACGTTTATTGTCATCATTGGTATAAAACAACCAAACATAGAAACACACTGATATATTGGTGTAGAAGTAATCATAAATATTTGTCTCTTTGGTGATGATAGATAAATTGGCGAAAATGCCTTTAAAAGTAGTCGTATAGTTTTTTTATTTGCTCACAAATATACACGAAACAATAACAGATTAGAGTGTAATTGATATTGACCCTCTCTTGTCAGACTCTCATTGTTCTCTAACACTGGCTGTTATACAAGTCATTTCACCTGTCAATCAAACTTAAAAATCAACAACACCACGCTGACTTGTGCTGGTATC